CCCCCCCCCCCCCCCCAATGCTTGTATGCAAAAAGTATCCAGGCTATTTTCAAGACCCTGGATAAGAGAATGGCCTGCGCCCATTCAAAGATTGGCTACCTCCACTAATAAATAATCTGCAGGCATGTATTCTAATAAACAAATTGCAGGTTTTAGCAAAAAGTTGAATCTTTTACCTTTAAGACATTTTCTTGCGTAATTCGTTGTAGTTTTGTCTTGACGACTCCGTTATCTGTTTTGAGCTTCTTGATTACTTGTCTTAATTCCATCACTTCATCATAATAATCTTCTTGAGATTTATATGCAGGCTTGCCACTTGCCAATATGTGTTCATCTGTAGAGTGAGCATGAAAATATCAATGTGAGAGGTGGATCGTTAGATATCCTGGAAGGAGAGGGGCAGATAAATCATGCAGAGTGGACTTAGACTTAATATTTTTTTTATTTTCTGTAATTTTTCATGTAAGTAATATTAACTATAGTAGTAGAGGTAGGCAGATTCAATTGGGGCTATGCACTGTCTGCCCACCTATCGTCCTATCATCTGTAATTCAGTGATAGAATCATTAAAACATATCCCGAAGTGGGATACTAGATTCTCATGGGGGATACTAAAACTATGAACCCTGGTATCCCAGTTGAAATCTGAAATCACACCCTGTATATTAGATACTATCATTTTACATACAGATTTTAGACTGCATCCCGAATTAAGTTTTAAGAATCATGCATAAATTATATCATTCAACACGGAGCAAGGCAAATTCAACCAAAATTACCTTGGGCAATGTCCTTTAGTTATCGTGTGTTCGTGCTAACAGACAAATCATGACCGGACTTTCAGGGGAGGCCCCTGAGATGTTTTGCACCTCCCCTCGGGAAAGTTTCAATGATAGATCAAATTGAAAATTTGACATTTCTTGGTTGCTTACGGTCTACACTTCGTAAGAAAGTTTTTCTGATGGCCACTCATCTCTGTGTCAAGTACCCTTTTAATGCAATGTTTCGAAAGAAACTTTGTAGTAATTGTAATGAAGGGCAAAATTGGATGAGTTGTACAGACATAATTCACTAAGGGACCGTTCATTAATTAAGGACCAGGGGGGGCTGGAGGAAAATTAGAGGGGGTTACCAAAACAATTTATGGTTAGAAGGGGGGGG